AGGAATCGACTCGTTTTTATGAAGAGGACCAAGGACTAACTTGCCTTAAAGTAAAGAGCTAAGGCTAAGAAAAAGAAGATCCTAAGGAATACCATAAAGGCTTAGATGAGAGAATGAGTCTCTCCCCATGACTAAAGATGATTTATAGGAAAAGATTAATCTCTCTGAAGAAATGTGTCCCTTCGAGTTAAATCCAAAAAGATATTAATTAATTTAGAGTGTGAAAATGATTGATGTGTAAAGGCTACCTCAGAAGAAATCTTCGATAACGGGAGATACAAGGCAAAGTATACTTAATGAATGAGTTGGCAAAACCTAACCTATGTAGGGCGAAACTCATCACAGCATGAGGTACAAGACAAAATGTGTTAAAGACACATGAGTCGATAAAACTTGATCCACATAGAAAGAAATTTGTCATAGTTGGAGGTATAAGGCAAAATGCATCTGAGATATATGAGTCGGCATAACTTGACCCACACAGGAAGAAATCTATCTTGGTATAAAGCACAAGATAAAATAAATTCGTAACACGTAACTTAGGAAAACTCATCTTATCTAAAGAGAGACTTCAAAGGCATAAGTTAAACTAAGCCGAGAAAGCCCAGCCTACCTAAAGCGAGGCTTGCTTATGAGACAAAGGTTAGAAAAACTTAACTCTCTCGAGGCTAGCTTGAAGTGGAGGGGTTAGGCACCAATCCTTTGTTGCTCGAGGTTATAGGTCGAGTACTGACTATCTCCATCGACCATAGTAGAGGGATCGAATGTCAACCCCCTTCTCGCCCAAGGCAAGTAAGTCGGGCATCAACCTCCACCTTTGCACAAGGTTGAGAGATCGATGCTGATCACGATGCAGGGGTCAGGTGTCAACCCCTCTTTCTTCCTGAGGTGGGTGGTTTAGGTGTTAACCTCCTCCGCTAACCATGGAGGAGGGGTCGGGTACCGACCCCCCTCTACTCGAGGTGGGCTAGTCGGCATGCATCGATTATCTTGTTGCTTGAGTTAGGGAGGATAAGTTCCTAATCCATTTTTGGGTGTGCCCAAAGTACGTTGGTCAAGAACCCCTACTTCCCATCGAATAAGTAATCAAAGGAGTGTCAGATTAACATGTCGAATTGGCCATATGTCATACTTCAAGACCCTTATCAAAAAGCCCTCGAAGCACAACTTCGAGAGAGAATAAATGATATGAGAATACTATTGATCAACTATAATTCGACATATGTTTTTCGTGTGACATATTCACATTAGAACAAGACAAAAGCTATCCCTCACTGATCTACTTGTGTGGATATTGATCCAAGATAAGACAGTTATAGGTTGTCTTGACCATTGTCACCTACATGAAAAAAAGATCAAATTGAGATTGTTAAACGCAGTTAAAGCTTATCCCCTAAAAAATATTTTACAGAATATATCGTTTATTCACTACTAGGTATAAAACTTCGCTTTTAACATAATGAAAGGATCACTTTTTTATTATTGGCGACTACACTCATATACCTCAAGTTACTAACTTGTGTGTTGGATGGACCGACTCGGTAAATCTCTTACAATCTCGATCTTTGTATAGGTGACACTTCAAATGACCTCCTTGGGAGCTTAGCATTTCTCTCTTGGAGACACCTCGGATGACCTTCTTGGATGCTCAGTATTTTAACCTTGAAGATACCTCGGACAATCCTGTGTTTGAACCACGTTAGGCTAATTTGGACATCAACGACATCTTTCCATAACAACATTATTAACTCAAAAATATTTAGTTAATTATTTATATAAAGACTAATTTATTAATTTATTAAAATTATTCAGTAATTTGAAATTTTTTTATGGATATCAATTGGAGAATTTGGAGGGAGATATTGTTAGGAGCAAATGTATTATTATTTTCACTTTGTACAAGGATTTTTTACGTAAAGACTCTTTAACATGAGGGGCCTTATGTACAGTTACTATATATTCAAGGACTAATATGCAATTAGCCTTCGTTGCAAGATATTTGATCCAAACCACGCTCTCCCCTCCGATCCCAATCTCCTCTCATCTCATCCCGGAAACCATGAAGGTTCAAGTTCTCGGTCGCCCCGGCGGCCATTTGCTCTTCTCCCACCCCAAATCACCCATCGTCTGCCTCGCCCACCAACACCCCCTTGTGAAAAACCCCATCTTTGACCCCGAGAAACCCTACCGGAGACGGACGCACGCCTCCTGCTCCGCCGCCCCTTTGGCTACTTCCGCTGCCCCTTCTCGCCGCGCCGCCGACGTCCCCGGCCGGCCCTCCCCCTCCTCCCTCTACTCGCGGCCCAGCCTCCAGCAGATGAAGGCCGAGCGTGCCGCCAACCGCGCCCGCGTCTACGAGTTCCTGCGCTCCCTCGGCGTCGTCCCCGACGAGCTCGACGGCCTCGAGCTACCCGTCACCGTCGACGTCATGCACGAGCGCGTCGAATTCCTCCAGTCCCTCGGCCTCACCGTGGACGACATCAACAGCTACCCGCTCGTCCTCGGCTGCAGCGTCAAAAAGAACATCGTGCCCGTGCTCGACTACCTCGGCAAGCTGGGCGTCCGCAAGGCCACATTCACCGAGTTCCTGCGGCGGTACCCGCAGGTCCTCCACTCCAGCGTCGTGGTGGACCTCATGCCGGTCGTCAAGTACTTGCAGGGCCTGGACATACGGCCCAACGACATCCCCAGGGTCCTCGAGAAGTACCCGGAGGTGCTCGGATTCAAATTAGAGGGCACCATGAGCACGTCGGTGGCGTATCTGGTTGGGATCGGCGTTGCGAGAAGAGAGATAGGCGGCGTCCTTACACGGTATCCAGAGATATTGGGGATGCGAGTGGGAAAGGTGATCAAGCCTTTCGTCGAGTACCTCGAGTCGATCGGGTTACCAAGGCTTGCAGTTGCGAGATTGATAGAGAAAAGGCCTCGTATCCTTGGCTTCAGCTTGGAGGAGCAGGTGAAACCCAATGTTGAGGCTTTGCTGGAGTTTGGTGTTAGGCAGGAGGCAGCAGCTTCGGTGATAGCGCAATACCCGGATATTATGGGGCTCGAGCTGAAGGCTAAGCTTACTTCGCAGCAGAGCTTGTTTGAATCGAATATCTTGGTTGATCGTGATGAATTTGGAAGAGTCATCGAGAAGATGCCTCAAGCTGTTAGCCTAAGCCGCTCTACCGTATTGAAGCATGTAGATTTCCTCAAAGGCTGTGGCTTTTTGTTGAATCAAGTCGGCAGAATGGTCGTAGGGTGCCCCCAATTGCTCGCACTGAATCTTGATATCATGAAAATGAGCTTTGAGTATTTCCAGTCGGAGATGGATAGGGATTTGGAAGAACTTGTTGCATTTCCTGCTTTCTTTACCTATGGTATTGAGTCCACAGTGAGACCTAGGCATCAGATTACCTCTAAAAGAGGCATTACGTGTTCTTTGGCATGGTTGCTTAACTGTAGTGATGAAAAATTCGAAGAACGGATGAAGTATGACTCTATTGGGATTGAAGAAATGGAAACAGAACCATCATTCGACATGAAATCTCTGTTACAGCCTAGGAAAGACGAAGAATCTGCTTCTGAATATGACGACAGTGATTATGAAGACACCGACGAAGAGTATCTATGATATTTATCATGCACCAATGCTTTCTGCCTGATGAAACCAAATGGAAATTTTCTCAGGAATTTTATCATGTGTCAATGTAGCTTCACCTCGGCATTGGAAAGGAGCACAATTAAATGGAAACTTTCTCAGGAAGTTCCGTTGATATATTCAGTAGCCATTTTCATGACAAGTTCTCGAGGTACAAATTTTAATCTGTGCAACTTCCATAGTTGTGTGAGATAAAGAAACTACATTCGGTGAGGTGCTTTAAATATGTGAAGTGTTCGAAAAGGACGAAAACACAAAAGTTGTAAGTTTTTTTTAAATTTATTCCATTAGATCTTCATGATGCTCTGAATTGCTGTTATGTGGCTATTGGCACAATGGATCTTGACTTGCTTGATGTTGGTATGGTTGACACTCAAAAGTATTTGTTTTAGATTCTCTTATCCATCTGGTTCTACATGTCACATGTTGCTCATGCAAAGAATTACCAATTCAGATCCCTTCTTATTTTTTGGTATATGAATCTACGAGTCTTGTGTGGCCATTGTCATCTTATGAACCATGCTGATAATTCTTTCTAGACATACTAACTTTCAAGATTATCTTTTCCTCCTAAGATGTGTTGTGCTTCCCAATTTCAAAGTCATCTTTTTCTCTTAAAGTATGTTGTTCTTCACTTATATATCTTGTGATGACAATTCTATGTGTGTTGGATGTCTTGCCATCCAGATTCACCCTCCATGTACTGATCGAAGCTTTAGCAGTTAAATTCTACATGTCAAAGATATTTATTGCTTCATTCTGCGCATCATGAAAGGTATTTGTAAAGATGATTGATATGGTTGTATTGATCTTTCACCATGACTAGTTATAGATATATTGGTATTACGGGAGAGTGTTAAGATAATATTAGTACGTTTTATCATGAGTTTAAACAATAAATAGGGGTGCAATCTTCCTTTCGAGTGCACTTAAGAATGAGCAGCAGATTAGCTGCAAAGTATTTGTCGAGGAGTTGTAATAAGATTTTATTATGTTTCGAGTTATTATGATTGTTTGATTGGTGTTTGACTTCCATCTGATGCTTCTCCTTTCCGAACCTGTATCTCGACATGCTGATACTTCTCTTGCTGCCTTCATCTTCCTCAGCTGACCCCGGGCAACACTCAACTGTTGGCCTAACGTTCTTTATTCCCTTGCCTAATTAACTGGTGATCCTTTCTTGACCCTGTTGGTTACTCAATTCTTGTGTCACTGTTGCTTTTTCACTTATTCTCTGCCCATCTTTTTGAGCCTTATCAGGTGCTGCAGATTACCCGTATCAGATGTAGCTACGAACGAGAGAAAGAGTTCGTCGTATAATCTTCTTCATTGGAAGCTTGAAGTTGTACCAGTTAGGATGGCATGTGTGCATGTCGAGTGCTTTGGCCATTACAAGAAGTGGTGCCGCTGCCGTTGCCGCTGCAACTGCTGCGTCCACTGCCATGCCACCCACGCCGCCGCTGACCCTTCCCGAGTCCACGAATACGGCCCCTCGATTGCCCCACCCCACAGGGTTCGCCACGTCCTCTCCGGAGCCTCGCTCGGCTCCTCCGCCGTCCCATGCGCCGGCCTCCGCCCGCAGTACTCCTCCCTCACGCAGCGGGGCTACTACCCCGGCTGGCCGGACCGCGCCAACGAGGACAGCTTCTGCGTGAAGACGCAATTCCAAGGCAACCCGGACCTCCACTTCTTCGGCGTGTTCGACGGCCACGGCGACTTCAGCGCCCAGTGCTCCGCGTTCGTCCGTGACAGGCTCACGGACATCTTGGCCGGTGACCCTCGCCTGTGGGAAAACACCACGGAAGCATACCGCTCGGCCTTCGCCGCCACGAACATGGCGCTCCATGATAGCGAGATCGACGATTCCTCGAGTGGCACCACCGCGGTCACAGTTCTCGTTCGGGGGGACACCCTCGTCGTGGCAAACGTGGGGGACTCGTGGGTGGTGGCAGGCGTTTGGGACGGAGATTGTGTGGTGGCGGAGGACTTGTCGAGCGACCATAAGCCGCTCTGGGAGGACGAGCGCGAGAGGTTGAGGCAGTACGGGGCGATGGTGTCGGGGGAGGAGGATCCCAACGCACGGAGCTGGAGCGACGACGAGGAGACATACAGACCTGACCCACCGAGGCTGTGGGTGCGGGACTTCGGATTGGCTTTATCGAGGAGCTTCGGAGACTCGGACTTGGAGAGCGTCGGCTTGATCGCCGTGCCGGAGCTGAAGGTGGTGAAACTAACCGCGAACCATTCGTTCTTCGTGGTGGCCAGCAATGGGGTCTTCGACTTCCTCTCAAGTCAAGCCATGGCCGGAGGGTAACATCGAGGACATCGTCACCGAACTGGCCGCCGAGACCGGCACAAGTGAGGACGAAGTCTTCTCAAGAATAGAGAAGCTCTCTGAAGTGAATCCCATGCTCGGTTTCCGTGGTTGCAGGTTGGATCCAACGATGCTCTCTTTTCTTCTTGGAATGCTTGTTGAATGATTTCTGCACTTGTCACTGAAAGAATTCTTCTGTTAGGCTTGGCATATCATATCCGGAGTTGACCAAAATGCAAGCACGGGCCATATTTGAAGCTGCAATCTCCATGAGCAATCAGGGAGTGAAAGTCTTGCCAGAGATAATGGTTCCTCTCACAGGAACACCTCAGGCACGAACCTTACATTATCTTTGACTTTTTGAGTGTTGAACACTGAATCTATTTGACTTTTTGAGTGTCAGGAGTTTGAGCATCAAGTGAGTCTGATAAGAACAGTGGCACAGCAAGTCTTCACTGAGATGGGAACCTCCATAAGCTACAAGGTCGGAACCATGATCGAGGTTCCAAGGGCTGCCCTTGTTGCAGATGAGGTAAAATGTGTATCCAAGGCTGTGTCTTCCTTTTGATGCAACAACTGAGTTATAAGCTTGACTCTCAAGATTTCAAGTTGAATCTACTAGCAATATCTGCAAATATTGCTACATCAAAACTTCATGTTTGCAGATTTCTGTGCAGGCAGAGTTCTTCTCTTTTGGAACAAATGACCTCACACAGATGACATTTGGATACAGTAGGGATGATGTCCGCAAGTTTCTTCCCATCTACTTATCCAAAGGCATCCTCCAAAATGATCCCTTTGAGGTAAAACACAAGTCCATGAAAGAATCTTATTCTATTGCTTATGGGAGATTGATCTGTTCCTGTGTGGAATCAGGTGCTTGATCAGAAAGGAGTAGGTCAGCTCATTAAGATTGCTGCAGAAAGAGGCAGAAGAGCTAGGCCTGATCTTAAGGTAAGTGGTATATATGTGCGAAGCTGCAGCACAGAGGAGGAGGTCTTAGTAGGATGTATGGTGCTCGAGCTGAAGGCTAAGCTTACTTCGCAGCAGTGCTTGTTTGAATTCACACAGCACAGAGGAGGAGGTCTTAGTAGGATGTATGGTGCTCGAGCTGAAGGCTAAGCTTACTTCGCAGCAGTGCTTGTTTGAATCGAATATCTTGGTTGATCGTGATGAATTTGGAAGAGTCATCGAGAAGATGCCTCAAGCTGAAACAAGCACATTGTAATCAAGTTAGATTCGTTCATGGCATTACTTCATCATGTAGGAGTTTTGTGAAGGTAAGTTACCACCTATTCTGATTAGAGTTTGAACTATCATCTGGTGGCTTTGGTATGTTGTTTATTGCCAGGCTACTCAAACAAATAGCAAAGAGGAGAACAATTGTGGGCCTCTAACGTCAAATTCTTGAATTTAGTAGTTTTATTGCTGCTAACCAGGTTTTGGATGCACTACACATTTTTTATTCCTTTTGAATAAGAAATGTGTAGTGCATCTATTGAGCCTTCATGAGTAAGCACATTAACTGCATCAAAAATTAGAACTCTACTGGATTTTAGGCTTATGGCAAAGAAGTCTGTCTCACTTCATAAATTTTGGACTGGCCTTTGTCTCTAGTGGATTTTAGGCTGGCGGCAAGAATGGAAAAAAAAAGAGGCTCTTTCACTTCATGGATTTTGCAATGGCCTCTGTCTTTCATACTGAATGCCAGATAAAATATTTGAACTAAAAACTATTGTTTTTGTCATATCTCTTTCATTAGAAGTCGTCATTCCAGATCCCTACCTCTGTATATGTTATTCAAAGGAATATCCAGAGTACCAAAAAGCATTACATATGTGTCTTCTTGATGATTTCTCTAGGCTTTTCTTCTTGCATGAAAATGGGAACTTGTTTGAATAGCTATGAAAGAAACAATTTCTTCTCTCGAGATATGTTGCACTCGGCTCAGAGTTGTAATCCTTTCAAGCTTTGTTGCTGTTGTTGCATTACAACTACTGTTTTAACAATTGTTTTTTTGTTGGTAGCTTGCTGCAAATCAGATCAGCGGTTGTGGAAACACATAAGTTCTGCATCGTCTGCTGTTTATATTTTGATCATAACACATAAATGCAGAAGAGAAGATCGGACCTGCAGAAAGGTTAGATATTAATCCCTCTGCTTTCTGCTTGCAGCAACAGATGTTATTTACGAGAATTTGTTTATGCTACCTGTTAGTTTGGCAAGTTCCACGTAGTTCCACATCGAGAAAATCAAGTTTGTTATCTCTTATTACAACGATAAATAAGGGTCTGAGTTTTGAAGCTAGATGCACCACAAGAAAAAGGTTTAATTTCTATTAAGTCCGTACTTAGTTAAAATAGTTTGGGTTTATAGTTTCAGATTTTCTTGTTTAGTAGTTTCAGGTGTTTTATGTTTATAGCAGAGTTTTGCTCCTCATCCGTCCGTGGACGTAGATCATTTAATTAAACCACATAAATCTGGTGTCTTTGTCTCTTTTATTTTTCTGTTTTATTATCTTTTTTGAGTTGTCAAATTATCCTTTGATAAATTTCTTGGGCCAACTCTAATACTACCTACAAAAGAAAATGAAGTTAATAAGCTAACGCACTAACAAAATTATCATGGCCGATGTGCACACAAAGATAATTGTAAGAGCTTGAACAGATACCAATAAATGATTCAAAGGTAAAGAATGGTTCAATAATCAATTAAGCACACACAAAAGAGCATTGAATGTGCGGTTTTACTTAATCCATTTTGATATTTAATTCTTTTGCTGTACTTTTTAAGTGAATTATGTTAGTTTTACATAATGCAAATTGAACCTACAAAATAATATGTGGTTGTGACAGTGGAAGCGGAAGGTAAAGTTAGCCTGCTACAAAGATCGTGACTGTGGAAGATAAAAGAAAGCAATGACAACGTCGTGACAGTCGAAGTTAAAGATGGATAGATCCTTCTCCGATAGACTAGACGAAGGAAAGTGGACATTTTCAAGAGGCCTTGGAGTCGTTCCTTGTCGACATCATGTTATCAGGGACATGACCTGCTCCTGTTGACCTTTGAGTTGAGGTCAACCCTTTCAAGTTTGACACGTCTTGTTCTTAGTCTACCACTTCGCTCGTCATAGTGGCCTCAAGCTCCATCAGCCGTGTATGTTTGGTCTACCGAGTCTGATTTATCCTTCTGGTCAATGGTTAATGGGGCACGTTGTTGACGTAGTGACATGGGTTTCATAGTGTCGTCATAGCAGGAGAGTTTTGCGTTGATGTCCACCGAGGCGAGGCTTGTGAGACGTTTCAGAAATTTCGTTCATGGCTCCATAGGGTCAGAATCTGTCATGGAA